GAGTATGGAGTAATGTCCATTGGTTTTAGCAGTTAGTAGGTCATTAGTGAGTTTTAGTACGGCAGTTTCAGTGGAATGTTGTGGGTGGAAGCCAGACTGTCGGGGATCAAGAAGATTGTTATCGGTGAGATAGCAGTTCATACGAATGTGAACAAGGCGCTCGAGAAGCTTGGAGGCAAACAGGATCAGGAAGGTGGGTCTTAAGTTATTCAAACAGGTGGGGTCCAGTGAGGGTTTTTTGAGTATGGGGGTAACCAGTGCATGTTTGAGCGGGGAGGGAAAGGTGCCCAGGGAGAGTGAGAGGTTAAAGATGTGGGTTAGAAAGTTTAGGATAGAGCAGGAAGGAAGCTGCAACAGTAGTGAGGGGACAGAGTCTAGGGGAAAGGTGGTGACGTGGGCCTTGGAAAGGAGTTCAGTAACTTCCTTGGTGGTAACGGGGTTGAAGGAGGAAAGTGTTGAGTGTGGTGTTGGGCCTGGTATGGTGGTTGGAGGAGGAAGCTTGACACTGGAGATCTCATCACGAATTGTGTTGATCTTGTTCTTGAAATGACTGGCAATCTCCTGTGCAGTAAGTACGTTGGTAGGTGGAGGCAGTGGGAGGCGGAGTAAGGAATTAAGGGTAAATAAGAGTTGATGAGGATTGAATGAGAAGGTCTTGATGAGAGTGTTGTAGTAGGTTTGCTTAGCAGCGTGGAGGCTGGAGTTGTATTTGAGAAGAGTAGATTTGTAGAGAGTAAAGTCTTTCAGGGATTTTGTTTTACGCCATACTCACTCAAGAGTGCAGCTGCATCTCTTGAGACTTCTGGTGTCATCTGTTTGCCAGGGTTGTGACAGGCGAGGCCTGTTTCTGCGTGTAGAGAGAGGAGCAAGAGCATCCAGGGAGGTTGATAGATAGTTGTTGTAGGCAGATGTGGCCAGTTCTGGGCAGGACAGGGGTGCAATATTATCATAGAGGCGCTCAGTAGCAGAGTGAAAAAGGTCAGGGCTGAGGTTGTGGAGGTCTCTACAGGTAACTGGTTGGAGGCATGGGAGGTAGGAGGCAGGAAGAGTGTGAAGCTGATAAAATTGTGATCAGAGAGAGGAAAAGGAGTGTTAGAGAGGTTACAGGGAGTGCATAGGTGGGTGAATACAAGGTGGAGGGTGTTACCATTGGAGTGGTTGGTGGATTGTGTCAATTTTGTTACCTTAAAAGAGGAAGTTAGGTTGAGTAGTTGAGAGGTGGCAGAGGTGTGAACATTGACTGGGATGTTAAATACACCGAGGATGATGGCAGGCACCTCAGAGGAGAGAACGTATGGTAGCCATGCTGAAAAGTCATCAAGAAAGCATGAAACTGGGCTCGGGGTCAGAAGATGACTGTGATCCTCAGACAAAAGGAGAAAAGAGATGAATACAGTGCACTTCAAAAGAGCAGAGGGACAGAGAGGGAAGTGTAGGAAAAACCTGGAATGTGCTTTGTGTGGAAAGAAGAAGTCCGACTCCGCCCCCTTTTCATCCACTGGGTCTGGGCGAGTGAGTCCAGAGGAGGCTACCATGGGAGAGTGCAGCTGAGGAGACAGAGTCGGAATCCTGGAGCCAAGTTTCAGTAGTAGTTTACCAGCCACTGTCCATGCGCAAAGTAGGCGACATTACCTCATAAAGGTAGACCTTCAATATGAAACAGAACTGTTGTTAACCAATAACAGACCAACATGCTTAGTCACCAAGACTAAAGCAGCAATATCTTCTACCAAACAAATAACAGCGTACCAACCACTGTCCACCCACAAAATTGGGCGACATTACCCCACATAAAGGTGGACTGTGACGAGGGAAAATTAACAAAGGGGAGGAAGGGTGGGAGAGTAGGTCAAAAGATCAAGAAGGAAAGCTGAGGAGAATCCAGAGGTGAGTCCAGCTGACAGACCTAAGGTAAATGCTGACTTTGCTCAGTGACAGGAGAGGATATAAGTGAAAGGTTACACTCATTGGCTAGATGTTTCCTGCCTAAAGATTTGTCACCAATCCAGTGCTCAGCATCTGAGGTACATCTACCTAGCGGCAGCAGGCAGCTTGTTACCTGAAACACGAAGCAGAAAGAACCAGCAAAGCAGCCAAAGAGACACATGGAATTAACAATCATCATAGCCCTCTATTAAGAGTGAAATTTATATAAAAAACAAATGGGTGATAGAGGTGACAATCCCTGTGGGCCACTTCTCTATTTTTATTTCTTTCATGGCCCTGACAAGGGAACATTTACATTGCGCACTTAAAAAGATTGTTATTAGCAACTGTTTCACAGTTCATTCTCTTATGGTTTAGTTATCTGAACCCTAATTAATTCCAATTATGTCTCTCACAATGGCACACATTTTACATCAATATACTCTGCTCAGCAAACTTTACATTCATGTGTTCTATTCTTTCCTATAATGATTTGTAAAGTAAAACTCCTGCTATGTGTGCTGAAATAATGCCTTTAATTTAAAAAAAAATGCCAAAATAACCTTCATGTACACCCCCACATCATGTATGAAACTGACTAACAAAGAGACATCCATTTTTCCCACAAAGAAAATGTCAGTTTTATGAAAAGAGTGAAATGACATCTCTTTAATTTTGTGATGGATGAGGTAAAGCAATGATTGCAGTGTGCTGCATTTCAAAGGCACACTGGGAAATCATTGGAGCAGTCGTTAAGTAAGCCCCTTGATCACTGGAATGAAAGAGCGCCTCAGAAAATAAACTTTGTCAGACAGGATGTATCTGTGAGGAAATTAGTGTACCCATAAAGCCCCAGAGTTTCTCCCTCTGGCTCTGATGCAAATAAATCTTTTTCAGTGATAGTAAGTGAAATATATATATACCTCTGCCGCTTCTAATTAATAGAGACTAGAGATAAGACCAAGATGAATTTTCAGCTTTTTACTATTTGCTAACATCAAAGGACAAGAACATTTTTTTTTTTCTGCTGAATAACCAAGTTTTAAAGCATAACTGTATTTAACCTTAAATAATGACATTGTTCATTATATTCATTTCTTTATTTCTCAAAAAAATTAAAAATGTGGGCTTGATTTTACTGGTACTCCTAGAAAAAGCTTTAATTGCTTTCCTGCCACCCTATAGCAGATATACTGCTACAGGGCGGCAGGGGTGCGCAAAATCACGTATATATACGTGATTTTGCATTTCCGGGTAGGGGCGTTACCCGTGCCAATATTCGTGGCCTCAGCTGTCAATCACCGGGTCCCGGACAGTGATTACTCGCTGGCACTCAGTGATCGCAAATTATCTCTCCGATGGGGGAGAGACCTGTGTATAAACAACACAGATCTCTCCCTTGTCAGCTCCTGCACACTGCTTTGCATGGCTGTGCATAGCAGAGTCATACAAAGCAGGGTGCTTACAGTGAAGCACACACAAAGCCCCCATAATGAAACAAGTGCCATTAGTACAGTGTCAGTGCTTTTTATTAGCATGGATCACTGTATTGGTGTCAATGGGGATGTCAGTGACAACAAGTCAGTTCCCCCCAGTGTCAGAATGCCTGCCGCAGTCCTGCTATAACTTTCACGTAAACCAATTAATTTATACATATTGGGATTTTGTTTTTAGCAAAGACATGTAGCAGAATACATTTTGACCTAAATCTATGACAAAATTTTAATTTAAATTTTTTTTTACTAGACATGTTTAATAGTAAAAAGTCAAAAATATAGTTTTTTTTCTCAAAATTGTTTTTCTTTTTATTATAGTGCAAAAAATAGAAACTCATAGGCAATCAAATACCACCAAAAGAAAGCTTTATTTGTGGGGAAAAAAAGATGTAAATTTAATTTGGGTGCAGTGTTGTATGACCGCTGCACAATTATCAGATAAACTAACGCAGCACTGTAACGCAAAAGATGGCCTGGTCAGGAAGGGGGGTAAATCGTCAGGACGAGAAGTGGTTAATCTGTACTGGCTGCATTCATCAGACCTCCTTCACCTGAACTACATCAACAGCAGCATCTATTACAGTACTACATTTACCAGCAAGCATCGACAGTGACAAAAGATGACACTTATAAAGGAAGGATGATGGGCCTGAAAACAACACCTCATGCAATAAGCATGCGTCCATACATCTCAGAGTTCTTCATACCCATTTTCATAACTAAAGACAAAACTTTTTTCAGTTTTGGATAAAGAGCTAGTAAAACACCTATCATGGTGTTATTACTGTCTGTGCCTCCATTAGGGAGAATCACCCTATTTGTTCTTTTTACTGTTATTACAGAGAGTGAAAAGTGACAGAAAATCCAAAAGTTCGGGTTGCCCCAAGAACAAGAATAGAGGGGAAATCTTCCAATGTGGATAGTAGTTCTGGTGATAACCAGGGATTCCTTCACTTTGGAGAAATTTCCTCTCCCTTCCTGTTTCGGCTATGGGACAGAAAGTGAAAAAAAATCTCCCTAATGGGACGCAGATGGCAAAAAAAAAAATGAAAAAAAATGAAAGAAGGAGAAAACACTGACTGCCTCATTTTTAAAAGGTTTTCATAAGTGGATCTTCCTAAACAAGACAAGGAAATATCAAATTAAATGATTTGTAAGGGTGATAGAAGTAAGGAATGTATGTGATACATTGACAAATACCGTATCTATTGTATTAATATAGACCATAAAAATAAATATAACAGTCATTTTAGGCAGCATTACATTTGTTTTATATAAGGTGAGAATTTTAGAGATGAGAATTATGTAAAGCAAATACAGTATAAGGTTTTCATTTGTGTGAGAAAAAATATTGGGTATGTAACTCATAACAAGTAATATACATTATATTGCCAAAAGTATTGGGACACCCCTCCAAATCATTGCATTCAGGTGTTCCAATCACCTCCATGGCCACAGGTGTATAAAATCAAGTACCTAGACATACAGACTGCTTCTACAAACATTTGTGAAATAACTGAGCTCTCAGGAGTTCTCAGTGAATTCAAGCGTGGTACTGTGATGGCTTGCCTCCTGTGCAATAAGTCCATCTGTGAATTTTCCTTGCTACTAAATATTACACAGTCAACTGTCAGTGGTATTATAACAAAGTGGAAGCAACTGGGAACAACAGCAACTCAGCTATGAAGTGTTAGGCCACGTAAAATGACAGAGCGGGGTCAGCGCATGCTGAAGCGCACAGTGCGCAGAAGTCAGCAACTGTCTTCAGAGTCAATAGCTAAAGACCTCCAAACCTCGTGTGGCCTTAATATTAGCACGACAACAGAGCTTCATGGAATGGGTTTCCATGGTCGAGCAGCTCCATCTAAGCCTTACATCACCAAGTGCAATGCAAAGCGTCGGATGCAGTGGTGTAAAGCACTCCGCCATTAGACTCTAGAGCAGTGGAGACATATTCTCTAGAGTGATGAATCACGCTTCTCTGTCTGGCAATCCGATGGAAGTGTCTGGGTTTGTCAGTTGCCAGGAGAACAGTACTTGCCTGACTGCATTGTGCCAAGTGTAAAGTTTGGTGGAGGGGGGATTATGGTGTGGGTTTGCTTTTCAGGGGTTGGACTTGGTTCCTTAGTTCCAGTGAAGTGAACTCCTAAGACATTAGCATATCAAGACATTTTGGACAATGTCATGCTCCCAACTTTGTGGGAACAGTTTGGGGATGGCCCCTTCCTTTTCCAATATGACTGCACACAACTGCGCAAAGCAAGGTCCATAAAGACATGGATGAGTGAGTTTGGGATGGAGGAACTTGACTGGCCTGCAGAGTCCTCAACTCAACCTGATTGAACACCTTTGGGATGAATTAGAGCAGAGACTGCAAGCCAGAAGAAAATCTGCTTAGAGAACATGCCTAAAGATGCATTTTTCACATATGTTTAGGAACATCTACATGCGTTTAGGCCCATCTGGCATTTGTCTGCTCTTCTGCTTCTCTCCTGAATGCAACTTCTACAAGGAAGATTTACCTTCACTTTCTGTTGAAGTGATGAGTCTCAGCCTGGACAGGAAGTGCAGGGAAATTTCTTCAAGATTTAAAACCTGGCACAAGGCTCTATTCAATACCAAAAAAAATGATTTTTTTTTTAGCTGAATGATGGCTACAGCATGGTTGTCCAGTTCTGGGAGGGCGTCATATGACGTCTTCCCAGAATGCGCCCTCCCACGCGCCCCCAGCGGTGCACACCCAGCGCTCTTTATGATTGCTGTGTCCTATGGACACAGCTGATCACATGATCAGGTAAAAGGCCAATCACAGCGGCCTTTTACCACATGATCAACTGTGTCCAATGACATACGGTTGCCAGTTATCGGCTGCACTTTCTTCACGCTGTCACAGTGTGAGGAAAGTACTGCCGATAATCGGCAAATGACACAGAAGACATCTGCACTGATCATCATGGCACGGATGATCAGTGACCTGATGATAAGTACCCAGCAGTGCCTCCCAGAAGTACCACCCACCAGTGGCTAGCAGTGCCTTCCACCAGTGTCCAGCAGTGCCACCCATCAGTGCCTAGCAGTGCCACCCATCAGTGCTGCTCAGCAGTGCTGCCCAGCAGTACCACCCATCAGTGCCTAGCAGTGCCGCCCATCAGTGCCATCAGTTAGTGCCGCCGATCAGTACCATCAGTCAGTGCCACCAGTCAGTGCTATCAGGCAGCGCCACCCATCAGTGCCACCTATCAGTGCCCATCATTGCTGCATATCAGTGCAGCAGCATCAGTGCCTCCTCATCAATGCCCACCAGTGTTGCCTCATCAGTGTAGACTATCAGTGCTGCCTATCCATGCCACCTCATCAGTGCCCTCAGTGCTGCCTATTAGTGCAGCCTCATCAATGCACATCAGTGAAGGAGAAAAAGTACCTGTTTGCAAAATTTTATAATAGAAACAAAGAAAACCTTTTTTTTTCTTCAAATGTTTCTCTCTTTTTTTGTTTATAGTGCAAAAAATAAAACACCCAGTGGCAATTAAATACCACCAAAAGAAATCTCTATTTGCATGAAAAAAATTATAAAAGTTTCATAGGGGTGCATGACTGCGCAATTGTCATTCAAAGTGCGACAGCACTGAAAGCTGAAAATTGGCCTGGGCATGAAGGAAGTAAAAGTGCCCAGTAGGCAAGTGGTTAATGTGCAATCACAAAACTTAAAAAAAAAATAAACACATAGTAAAATAATTATCTTGCTTTCAAAGTTTGAAAGATTAGAAAATATAAACATTTATAATGTAGTTTATTCTGTAATAAAAAATATCAACCACCTTCTCAAAAATTCATTTTCTTTGGTCCTACAGTGGGCTCTTTAGGCAGATATATTGTTGAGCAACAAGAACAACATACCGGGGGAGATTTACTAAAGCTGGAGAACTCAGAGTCTGGTGCAGCTGTGCATGGTACCCAATCAGCTTCTAACTTCAGCTAGTTCAATGAAGCTTTGACAAAAAACCTGGAATCTGATTGGTTTCTATGTAGAGTTGCACCAGATTTGACATTGTCCAGTTAAACCAGTTGCCGACCAGCCACAGTACTTTTACTGCAGCAGGGCGGCACCGCTGCGCAAAATCACATATGTATGTATATATATATATATATATATACATACACGTGATTCGCGCTCCTCATGTTTTCGATCCCTGAGGGATCAATCATTCGACTTCGGCCAGTGATGTCCTGCTGATGAATGTTACCAATAGAGACATGGACGCTGTACATGACAGCCATCTTGTTAGGTCTCAGCCAAGTTGTCTCTCCTCTCTTCCCTCCTCCCTTTTGAATGGAATGTATAGCTGTAAGTTGAACGGAGGTCTAAAGGGCCTAAATAAAATACAGCTAGATAAAGCTCCAGGGCTGTAAACCGCTAATTAGTCTGGTTCAAGGGGTCTGCTTTGAAAACCACTTTCCTCTGCCCAATCGTAAAACAAAAACTCAGTCAGTCATGAACTGTTAGGCCATTAGGGCTAGAGCGTGCCATAAAACGTACATTCCACATGAGACATTTTTTCATTAAATTCATAAAGTTCAGCAGGAACTGGGCACATTGATATTAGGTATATATTTGGATAGATCATTTTAATATGAGTCAAACAAGACCTTACATGACTATATTAGCACCTACAAGAGAGGAGAAGCAGTCTCTTCCCTCCTGGGTGACAAGGGTAGGCTGTGTTTGGTATCCCTGCATTTAAAATATAGTTCTGAATATTAATTTGCCAGTTGCTAGGATGATACCTGTACCTATTGGAGGTTATTAACCTTAGTATGAAATTGTAAGGCGACTTGATCATACCTTGGTTACCGCCTAACAGCCATCCCAAAACTGGATAATTGGTCATTTGTTCTCAGGTGACACCCCTTTGATATGATAGAAAAAGACTGACAGGCCTGGAGAAGACAGCTCTCGTTTAATATCAGTCAGGAAACATCTAACGGACTTGAGAACCAAGTTATTTACTGCTCTCTTTATATCTTTACAACATCTTTTTCTGTAAATATTTTAATTGCACCATTTTGACCTTTTTAGTAATAAATCCTATTTTGAAAAGTGTTGAAACTGTCTCTAAAGCTTTTAATGCAAAGCAAAGAATCCCTGTCTCTTGAAGAATGCTACTGTATGTAATAATGTAATTTCTTTATGTAATAATTCTCTGAATATATCTGTCTGTGGTGACAGTGTGTATTACAGATGCTTATGCTAATATCACAATGTTCCTGCTAGGATTTGTGAGTTTCCTCCTTCTCTGTAAAAAGGTGGTGGTGGCAGTGTAAAGGGTTAGTTGCATAATTAACCTGACCCAGTAACAATCGCTCTCAGGCTGCTGGCATTGTAGTCCTGCGAGCTGGAAAATCTTTATGCAGGGCGCAGCTGAGAGTGGCATTCTTATGCAAGTGACAGCGTGGTGCGAGATCAGCTGGTCCTTCGGTCACGAGTTGGTGAGAAGGGCAGGGTCGGGCGCTGCGTTCTGTCACAGGTCCTTGTCCTATCCTGTCCTGTGTTGACAGTTACACAGGACAGGATATGATGTCAATCTTCTCTGCCTGGGCACAATCCGTCCCAGAGAAAGAAGAAGACACAGAAAAAGAAAGCACTACACTTACAGTTAGAACACATCTAGGTCACATTTAACCAATTAATCGCCCCCCCCAGTTAACCCCTTCACTGTCCTGTCACCAGTGTCATTATTTACAGTGTACAGATTTTTTACTGATCACTGTAATCGCTGGCGATTTTCGATAGCGTTAGCATCAGTTAGCGTCAGTTAGCGCCCCTCCCAGATAGCGTCAGATTGCCCGTCAGTACACCAGTCATCACATTTAATCCCTTGATTGCCAGGAACACGCTCACTTGCACACTAAACCTCCATTGCTAGTATAATGTCTGAACGGAACAATGTCTTTGATCAGATCAGTGCTATACCAGCGTTCACATTAGTATAGCGTCCCCAAAAATGCAGCGTTAGCGGGATCAGCCCCGACACCTGCCAGCACCTGCGTTTATCCCCTTCGCTCCCTCCCCTTCTCCCCCAGAAAGTGCAGTGTCAGTAGATAACTGTCACTTGATACATTGCACACAAAACCGCAGTGTTCACAGAATCAGGCCTTATCTAATTTTTTTGTAGCGGTTCAAGCAGTTTCTGACAGCCAGGTGCTCTTTTTCCCATGAGTCGCACTAGGTACCTATAAATTTAGCAGCCAAAATGTCCAACCAAAGGTACACTAGAGAAGAGGCCTACAAGATTCTGAGCATGTCAGGTGAGAGCAAAGGGGAAGGCTCACTGACAGAATCCGCCTCAGAATACGAACCTGTAAACAGCAGCAGCACCCTGACAGTTAGCTCAGACGACGGAGAAGAGATCCTTGCTACGATCAGGCGTACCCGACTGACCCCATTTCCAGGTTGCTGAGGTGGTACAATCGCATGATGACTCTCATATGCAGCAGAGTACCAGTACTAGTGCCGCGCTACCTTTTGGTGAACTAGCGAGCACCAGTGGCCTAGGTCTTATAGATACCAGCACTGCAGTATCATTTAGTGATGTGGCGAGTCCCATAAGTACAGTACAAACTGGTGCTGCAGCAAGCACAAGTAGTGTTCCGCGGCCACCAAGAATTCACACACAGGCCCGTAGAGCCCCTAGTATTCTTCTGGATGTGCTTGCAAATCCTGATTGGCAGCCCACAAATTCTGCAGCACCCATACTTCCCCTATTCACTGCCCAACCCGGAATTCAGGTGGTAACAGCAAATTTAAATACTCCCCTTGATTTCTTGGAGCTGTTTTTCACAGATGATCTGTATGCATTGAATGTGGATCAAATCAATTTATAAGCACGACAATTTATCTCTGCCAACCCAAATTCAAACCTTGCCAGACCACTCATATGG